GAGGACTTAATGAATCATCTCGTCAGCACAGGCGCAGCTGACTCACTTCATCAGAGAACAGATTTGGTTATTCAGAGGATTGATTTTTAGAGCAAAAAAGGAACTTTGCACAGCCAGCGAGAGTATGTACTGGATATGCTCCGTTACTAGCTGGAAATGAATAGGAGAACGATTGCTACAACACTAGGCGAATTAGGGGGGGGGGGTAGCAATACATAGCGGGGTATGAGCTGTAATGCAATAACGAAGTTTTCTAGCGAATGTATGGCCTACAGTACAATAAAATATAATGAATGCAAGCTTCATATTTCACTAATTCTTTTTAGATGCGCCACGCATTCCACTCTCATTGAACGTGGTGGCTTTTAAGTGCGATGTGGCCCATACGTACATTGACTGGAGAGGGAGGAGGTCAGAGAAGGGGCAGGCCGAAGTACAAGTCAGTATTTTGTATTTCCAGACGAGTTTTGTACTAATACAAATCAACCCCATAGGAGTTGGAAGTCTTGGTTGGCCTGGGCGAGATTCAATCTAGGATCTGACCCCCCCCCGACTGTGCGCTCTGCAATTGCAAGGGGAAAGAATCTATTTCTGTTTGAGATGTGTTTCTCATATTCATCGTTGTTCATGGTGCGTTCCGAGTGGCGGGTGGAGGGGAGGTGGGAGAGGAAGTGTGACGCAGGTTGGGCAGTTCAGGTGATACTTGATAGGGTGGGATAGGAGTATACGGGCTAAGATTGAGCAATTTGCTTGAAATTCTTGGGTTGTGCTCCAGCTGTCAGGACCCTCTTAGCAATTCACAATATTTGTAATGAGTCGAAGGTGCGGAGGTGATGTAGCGCCGAGCGGCGTCGCGCATCACGCACACGATTCGAGGATCAACAATCCCTCGAGCTAAACAGCCCGGCCGATTCCTTCAAGATCAACCGGTCGGTAACAGATACGCATTAGAGGATAAAAAACGCTGGCTCGCATCGGTTCGCCCCTCCTCCATCCTTTAGATGGACAACATCTCTTTCATATACCACTACAGCCAGAATGGAAGTTGACTGTGTTGCGTAGCTTCAAAATCGGTTGGTCGAGGTAAAGTGCTGTGCGCCTGAATTAGTTATGTACATGTATTATTTTTCAAATCAGCCATAATCTGGTTGTCCCATCGAATCTAATATTTCTAGAGAAAATCGGAAGAATTTTTGACGCTTAGCGCACAATCCTTGAAAATTTGCCGGTTTTCCCAGTTTTTATCCTGATTCTACCTAAGAAAAGAGCTACTAGTGGACACCCCAGATAGTCTGGCTGGTCCTGAATTGACTTTACTAGCTCAGCGTTACGTGACTGCAACCTCAAGTCGATTGGGTTTATTCTGGTTTTTATAGTTTTTGTTGGAACTTTTTATATTTCATGTAGTTTAAATGTCTATATTGTTATAAGACAAAGATAAAATAACTATAACTAAAAATTAGTTCACTGAAGGGCGGAAGTGGTGCAGTGACAAGTGGCGCGCTCACCACGCGAGCGGTCCGGGATCAAATCCTGGGTCGTGAGTCGCCCGGGCCAACCAAGCCTTCCATCCCTCCGGGGTCGGTTAATTGGTACCAGACTTGTCTGGGAGGATAAAAACACTGACTTACATCGGCTGGCCCCCGCAAGTCATTGTGTAGGCCACATCGCATTCAAACGCCACTACGAATGTACAAATGGAAGTAGAATGCGTGCCGCATCCCAAAAAGGATTGATCAACGGCAAATGCTTTATCCTTTATCCTTTTATTCCGATAGTAGCGAGGCACAAAAGACCCGAAAGCACTGACTAGAAAGTTCAAATCACGTTTCGTCAAACTTTATCACACAATATCACAAAATCATTGAAAATAGCTGCAGTAAGAAATAACAATAGTAGGATTTTTCTATGGGAAAAGCGCGTCAAGTTTGAATACAGTCAGAAGGGGGAGGGACTAAAGCCTTATGATAAGTTCTCATGGCAACAGCGCACCCGCAAGCATTCAGAAAAAGTATCCTCTGTGTAGAAATATGCTTCGTTATGTATCCCCTTGTTAGCTGAAAACGCTAACGTTCTTCGTCATTACTCATAAGTATTGACAATACGGAGCAGGGTCAATCGTGCGTTACGCAGTCTAACGAAGAGGTTCGTATTTTATTATTTCGGAGGTCGGGGTTGGTCGTAATAGGGGTTGGTGATGGTCAAAAGTTTGGAAGAAGGGGGTCGTGTTTCTAGCAGTTGGATGGATCGCGGGGCTTGAGAGAAGCCATTTTTGACGGGTCTTCTGATAATTTCGGTGGAGATATTCGAAATATGAGCATGAAGTAGCCAGAAAAAAAAAACTAGGATTTGTCCTTTCATTTTTGCTGCATATCATATACTTTCTCTCCCCTCCCCCCCAACTACCCCCTCCCCCTACCCTGCTCGATTGGTAGTGTGGACGCAGAAGAAAGTGTGTGGGTTGGTTGTGTCGACTGGCCTCTGTTGAGCGTCGGTGATCGGGCAAGAGGCTGGGGCTTGCTATCCGCGCCCCTAACCATGTCGTTGGTTGGAAAGGAGTTTCACAATCGAAGTCTTCTAAGGGAGGGGATCGTGAAATTTTGCGGACTCGGAACAAAGTGAAGTGATAAAAGGTGGTGTATTGGCAAATGCTGCTGTTAACCTCGCGTGGGGATCAAATTTTGGTGCGTCCCCCTGGCCAACCAAGCCTTTCTTCCCTCCGGGGTCGGCAAATTGGTAACGAACTTCTCTGGGTGGATAAGAACACTCTCGTACACAGGCTGACCCCCCGCAAGCCACTGTCAGCCTGAAGACGAACTTCTCTGTGTTTCTGCTCCCCAGCTTAGGCCAAGCGTCATTCCATGTTCTTCGCCGTTGGCGACGACACATTCTCCAGTCTTGCAGGTTCTATAGGCTAGCGAGGTCCTCAGGGTTTCGTGTCTTCTGCCAGCGCTTGTATGCTTTCTTCTTCCGCTTCGCGACTCGCTGGGCTTCTTCGTTCAGAACCACGTTGTTTCATCCCCCCCGGCAAGCCTCACGTTGCATACCTCCTTGGCGCAGGATGGCCTCAGCCGCTGCCCCAAGTTCGCTTCATAGTCCTTCAGGATCTGGGAGAATTATAGGATTATGCCTTCGCTGGAGGTCTCTCTTCTCCGCTTGCTGCAACTTCTACCACCAGATTCTCCTCTCGGTCTTTACCCTTGTCTTCTTATGGAGCTTATAATAATGTCTGCCAAGGGGCCTGTGCTGGGGAGCCAGTTCTTCGCCAGGGAGAACCTTGATATCCTTCACAGTTTTGAGGGATGATCTTCTTACCAGCACATGGTCGATTTCCGTCTGTCTCCCTCCACTGCTGTAGGTGACCTTCTGAGTCTCCCTTTTCGCGAAGAACGTGCTGCAGATTGCCAGATCGTGGGCCGTAGCCAGGTCCAGGACCCTCTCTCCCTCGGCGTTCCTCACTCCTATCCCTCTACCTCCGTGCACCCTTTCCCGGCCTCTCTGTCACTGCCGACGTGACCATTCAGATCACCTGCCATGGTGGGGTTAGTCGCCTTCTGGTATCGCTCTGATGGTGTGGTCAAGGCTCAGATAAAACTCGTCTTACTCGCTTGCGTGGCATCAGGCTTGCGATAACGTACACGGGGACAGTAATGGCCAGTACCGCTCCTCCGTGCTCTGATATGAAGCCGAGAATGTGGCATATCCCACGTGATCGATTATGCCTTAGCTCACTGGTTAAAGGTCTGGAACCTGACGGTGTGCAAAATTTATTCATGATATCGCCGTATGCTATACGAAGTTATTACGTGAACTAGGAGAGAATTATTATGATGTCAGACGTCTCGTACGAGACCTCATTTAATTAAATTGCCTTGGAAGGTTTTTCTTAACCTTTTTTCGTTTGTCTACTTCCAGTCATGAGTCAACACTTCATCGAATCGTGCTGCAAGCACAATCCTGTGCTTAGGGGGGGGGGCACGCGGCGGCGCGGCAGTCTGCTCACCTGGGCTCTCTCGAGCGAGAGACAGTGTAAACTCGAACATTCCAGCTTTTCACGCATGTCAAGTGACTGCCCCCCCCCCACCCCCTAGACTGGCTACACTCCCCCTGGCCCACGGATTTCCGAACATGCCAGGCGAGCAGACTGCCGCGCCGCCGCGTGCCCCCCCCCCCAACTAAGTTAGCACCAAATCCTTTGCCATTATCATTCTTTTATTCAGACGGCTAACTTCGTGTGTCGGTTTGTATGCATGTTTTGCACAGGCTTGCGAAATGTACCTGAAATGACCAAATACTAGGCCCTGCTCGACCACTTGGGCCAATTAATGCTGTGCTTGCGCAGCGTACGACTTTCCCCGCCTTTGGTCGATGTAAGACTTGGCAAATCGAGCCGATTCGCTAGTGTCCGCGGTCGCTCGCGGAAAGAAAACCGTTTCTCCATTTTCTGATACCGCAACGCGACCGTGGACGCTAGCAAATCATCAATTCGCGAAGTCTGACATTGGCTTTCATTGGCAAATTGCGCCCTCCCCTCCCGCACCGCTTGAAATTTCAGTGGGCACCACTCTCCAGGCTTTTTGGGAAATTTTCGAACTATAGGTCGAAAAATGATTTCGTAGCAACAGGATTTTTCATCGTTTCCATCGTACTCCTTGCTACGAGGACATGTAATGAAGATGTCTCTTAGGCGGGTGGCTTCTCGATATCTCCCTTATTTTTTGTTTCTTCTTCTTTTTCTTCAGCGTTGATCCCACTCGCTGACGAGGTCTGCTCTTCTGATATACTGAAGCCAATTTCCCGATCGGATGTGTGTTCGGGATTGATGCCAATTAACTTCAAATCCACATGGTATTGCCGTTTATTATCGTTTATTTAACATGAATTTCATCATGAGCAAAATGTTCTACGAACAGATATTACAACCAGAACGTAAGTGAAATATGGTACAAGTATATATAGTGAAGTTGTTACGTATTTAGACAGCTTCTACTGGCAAGAGATCATTCCTTGATTGTCCTAATCATTCGATCCAGATCAGAGAGATTTCGCCTGAAGTGACTGCTCTTACGAAACATGGAGTAAGTAGGGGGTAAAAAAGTACCAACTTCAATTTTTCTTCCAACTCTTCGCGCGTAGCCATAATCAGGTAGTCTTCATCATGAGATGAACGCATGGTAGCTGGACCAGTCGACGCCGATCTCAAGGGAGGCGAAGCTCCTCTAGAAGTGGCTTGTTGCTCACTCCACGAGCTTGAACTCGACTGAACCCGATTTGCACTACTCGGGCGTCGCACTACATCGCTGGCTTCCATGGACATCTGAATTTACCACAGAAACATGCCAGATGGAAGCTCATCAGAAACCGAAACAGTTCTTCTAAAACAGTTGTGAAACCTACAGTTATGATGGGTACCTCGCCATTTAGGCCAGCCGTTCCAGTCAAGTCCACCATCTCATAATCAACACGATGCGCTTCTTCAATTGGTAATGGAATCGATACAAAACCAAGTGTCTGGAAGAAGAGACTGAGAAAACGAAACTCCCATCAGAAGCAAGAAAAACCACTGCAAGCTCTAAATAAACGCCCTGTTACACCCCTTGATGCCGTAACATAAAAAGTTGAAAATGTTAACAAAGCCAAAGCTGATCTGTAGAACAACAAAAGCATTTTTCACGGCGAAACGTACCTGAGGATGTCTGATGCACCATACGGTAACTAGAAAGTTATTGAGAAATCAAGCAAACTTATCCTTCGAAACAACTGTCAATCAAACGATTCTAATCTCACCATATCGCCACTGATATCGTGATGAAGTATCTTCACTATTATGTTACGGCGCTCTCCACAAATATAAAATCCGTGCCGTCCAGTTCCAAAGAGGACGGCGAGAACGCTCACAAACTGACGAGCGAAGTTCACCGTCTCTTCCCAGGACAGAAACATAGGCATTAGGAGAAACAAACCGATTTCTGAAAGCAATTTCATTACGCGTTTTCTCACAAAAAATGGAAATCAATCTCAGCAACAAAAGCTACCTTTCATCCCGTACAGGTGGAAGTCCGCGAGCCTCATGCACAGTGAGTTGGATGAGGCATTTGCTCCGGGGGCTCTCTCGTTCTCTCTCCTTGACACTTGACGATGTACTGGAGCGCACTGCAGGGCGAAATTCCCGGTGAGAATCCAACGCGTGTGCACGCCGGGAATCGAAACCCAAAGCATGCGGGCGAGAAGTTCCATAATTAATGGCTTGGTCTTCAAAAACCGAATCGGATAAGTCAGTAAGATTTGAAGGGACTCTCTCACGAAACGGCACTGGTCCTGCTTTTGGAATATGGTCTGAAAAGAAAAGGTTCGAGTGGTTCCAATATGGAAAAGAATAGATCAACACTCACGTGGGGCAATGCTGCGTTGTAAATGTCTGTCAGCTCTGCCGTGGGCAGAGGTACGCTTCTAAAAATAGCAGCTTCGAATTAGGATTTGGAAAACAATGCAGCGAAAATCGTACTAAACGACGGCAGGAACACGTAGGGAGGAGGCAATATTCTCTCATTAGTTGCGGAAGTGCGGCGATCCAGCGAAACGGCCTCTTGATCGAGTACGACTGCCGGATGCGGTTCGTTGCTTAAACCATGATAACGACAACAAAAAGATAACCTTAATGTTAGAAAAGAGGGAATCATACCTGACACATCAACAACATATGATTGTTCATAATGATGATCTAAGGTTCGCATTAAGTTTTTTCGCTCAACCTGCTTTCACGAGTTCCCAAGTCGATGCCGAATCTAGAAACATTTGAAGAATGGCACCAAGTAATGAATTATCCATAAGTTCAAACAGGAATGTCAAAATCATCACAAACAAACACGTACTAGCGAAGAACCCTCAAATGTCATTCCTTTGGCAGGGATGAAATTAAAATCTCGGCAAATCATAAAAGGCGGAATGAGAAGCTCGGCAAGTGGAACGACACAGTGACCGAGCAAGCGTGTCTAAAAAAGAAAGAATCAATAAAAACGAAGTCATTCAAAAGTTTAAAAAAGTTTAATATGGTTGAAAAACAACTTGCCGAGAACTTTCCACGAGTATTTAGTTGAACATGCAGCCGTATGACAAGGTGGTGGCGATTCCAAAAGGGAATAATTTCAGGATTCATTTGCAGAAGAACGACTCTTCTATGACGGAATTGTATGTTAGTCATGGTGAAACTCTTGGCTGGTATTCGAACTGGAGCTTTGAGCGATCGTGAAACATTTTCGAGGCAAGGAAATTGATATTCCAGGTTGAACCTAAACAGAAAAAAAAACACTCTAACAAATTCTCTCAAACATCCAACTCTTACCCATAAAGTGATCCTTCATTATACAGCCGTTCAATGAATGTATTTTCTTCAGGAAGTAATACACTATCTATGTTAATCCGAAGAAATGACAGGTGTTTGAGCACATTGTCCAGGTGCAGCTCCGAATCATAACAATCTTAATACGGAAACACTTCATAAAACATTTTCAACGACTCTTTTCTATAAATTAAGAAAGCCACATAAAAAAACACTTGAAAATAGAAAATTCATACCGTGCTCCTTGTTCGATGCGTGAACCGACTGTGTTTGCCGGTTCTGCATACACCTACATAAAAGTAGAATGAGCACTGGAACAGGCAATGAAAACTTAGTTACAATAAAATATTCGTAAAATACACAGCTTCGAACATTGGATACGTGAAAACAGAACAAAATTCGAATTTTTATTAGACCAAGGTTTAATTGTGATGTACAACATCACAAACGCGGAGTATTCCGCGCTGTCTGTACAAAATATAAATTTGAAATATTCAAGCGTGAGGTAAAAGATGCAGTAGTGTTTCACATGGAATTTGGTAAACATGAAAGGAGCACTTAGGATTGAAAGGTCTGAGTGAAAATACAAAGAAAATTAATCACTTGTAAGTATCACAATACTATGAACAACGTATGTGCTAGTTCTTTACAATGGCTAGGGTGAGCAAATTCTCCAAAGTTATGTTATTTCAAATATTAACATGCTAGTCCGGCAAGCATGACGATACAAGAAAAAAGGAAACAGAAGCAGTTAGAGCAGTGGAAACACACCGACACCTTATTTTTACCCGCTGTAAGGCAATTGCTTCTTCGGTCATGGAAAGCGCTAAAAAGTGCAGGCACCAACTGGTTTCACGAAATCTGGAATTGGAAAACTTAAAAAAAAAAAAACAGATCAGATGATGAGAAGATAGAAATTTCAATAAACTGCATAAAACTGAAACAGCAGTATGGGAGCACAAATAGAACCAAAATACATGGAACGTGTCTTGATTTGGCTTTCTGAATTCAAGGAAGAAACGATGTCAAATGAACTGCAAACTCACGGCGACTTCTATGAGTAGCTAATCCGCAGAACAAGTCCAACGAAGCAGTTTCTATCACTCGTACAATATATTGCTTATTCCTTCGTCTTGTCCGGGTTGAACATTGGCTATCAATGTCTCAACATCACTGGCCCACTCATCATCCACTTAAACAATCGTCGTCAAAAAAAAAGGGAAAAATCACTTTACGTATGGCCAATTAAGAGAAAGACATCACAAATAAGAAGGAATGTTTGTCAAACTAGAGTATCATAGAAAAAAGTCATCACAAATATGATAAGAATATTTACCGTGCATTTCTTGTTTCGCCCGATGGTGGTCAGCAACGATGTAAAATGTAGCCCAGAGGTAACACCCAATACTGAGAATAAGAACAGCATTTGGAAGAAACATTGCATACTGCAACGCATGGTACTTGGCGATTGAAGAAGTTTGATCACCTTAAGATCTTCTTTGCTTAATTTGGTCAAATGTCGTACATACTAATGAGAAAACCCAGCAGACCTCGCACAGCATCCGAAATGAAACCGATGATGTACGGCGATGAAGCATCACCAAATAGATGTCCTATCAGCGTCTGAATGGCAGTGGCAGAAGCGCGGCGATGTGTAACAATCACATGCTGAAAAAATTGCATAGAAGATAATTAAATTAAATTATTCAAAGAACCTACACAAAGAAACTGAAAACAAAGAAGGACCAAATCTTGTAATCTTACCATAAAGCATATCATGTTCAAGCAGTTGAAGAACATGGAATGTAACTCCAGGAATGAATAACAATACCTAAGAATTGTATAATAAGATATGTGCTGGATAAAAATGGATTACCCCAGATGAGAGATATTACATAACGAAACTCTAAAACAACGAACCCAAGCATAATTGAGAGATTGGCTCGCGACCATTAGAGCAGTGAACAGTAACGGAGCTGCGAGAAAGGATCCAGCCGCACAAACGAACGCATCAGCGCGGTGCGAAGCCCGAAAGCACCAGTTCCCTTCTCGCCATGCCTAATTATTGAATAATCGTTAGAACGTGAACAAAATTATCATTAAAAAACAGTCACTACGCATTTGACCCTAACATAGTATTTTGGGAAAGCGCTACGCCTTCCAAAAAACCAAGACCACTAAAAATCAGGTCATCAGGGCTTACACTGAGGACCGTAGTGGTATTCGAATGCAATTTGCCTCAAAGAATGACCTGCGGGGGCTAACTTTTGTACAAGCCAGTGTTTCATCCTCCAGGCAAGCACGGAAACAGATCATCATCTTCGCAAGAAGACATAGTTAGCCTGTGCGAGACTTAAAACTCCTAACCTGGTGTGTGGTGTAAAGGACACCACCTCTCAGTCACTCCACCGCGCTTCAATTTTTAGAAGACAAAAATGGTCAAACCTGAGCTATCGTAGATCCAGCAATTATTCCGACGATTCCAGCACAACATGTAATCGCTCCGAATATTACCGAAAGACTGCAAAAAGTAATTTTTCAGCACACATAAACGAGCAAACATAAACATACTAACTAACTGCGCCACTTCATCCTTCGGGACATCATCAATACCGTGTTGAATGCCATACGCGTAAGTCATTAACTGTGGTGTCCACCAACTTGCAGCACCAACGCAAAAGACGACGCTTGTAAATCCAAACGTCGTCAAAACATATGTTCTTCTGCAAAAGAGGAAAAGTTTATAAAACACTGAGGAATCTACCACCAATCACTTACACACTAATCAGGTACTTCAAGTCCTGCAGCAACGTGCTCGGTTCAATCTGGGCGTGTTCTGCCTGCCCACGTTTTGGCTCTTCGAGCCCAAAAATGATAAGGATAAGAAACAGCACGCCGATCAAAGGGGTAAACCTGAAGTAGGGTAGTAATTGCAACAAATCGATGACGACAAGGCAATGAATTGTGAGTTTAATGCGCTAGTAGAAAGCTTCATGGCTGTTTGCACATCTGTTGCTTTCTCTATGCATATATTTTGACAAAATTTTTCCAGAACCTACTTGATAAAGCAAGAAAATGAAATGAGCTACCGCGTGGAACGGTTCAAAAGGACAAGCGACATTCCTTTTGAGTAATAAAGTGAAGAAAATAGAAAATTCCCCTACCTGACACCCCATTGCCAGCTACCAGTCCACAAGGCGATGGATGAGCCACCGATAAATCCTAGCCCACTGGAAATGACAAATCTTTTCATGTAGCAATATTCTACTGCATCGATCTATACAAAATTCACCTGCCAACGGGTATGGCAAAATAAAACACCATCAGTGCAATACTTCTCATGGGACCATAGAAGAGATCGCCGATTATGGTAGGAGCTACTGTCGAATATGTAGCTTCACCAATACCAACAACTCCTCGTAGAAAGAGAAACACAAAGAAATGCTGAAAAGGTGAGACTATCTAAAGTGAAACCACAATTTGTTAGCGCCTGCCTGAATCATAACGTCGAATCTTGCTACCCCTCATCGGGCGTACCCGTGTTTAATCAACAGCGTATAATAAAGTCCAAATTCAGACTCGGCTTCATAACGTCACCTATACAGTATAGTTAAACCCATTAGGAATTTTGAGGCAAAACGAACATCACGTCCAACAAATGTCGACAGCATTACGCCGCTTATCCATACTATAAGACCAGCTATAATAATAAACTTTCGATTATATCGATCGCCAAAATATCCACATATAGGAGCAAACAGCATGAAGAAGACAATGAAAACTGTCTGAAAAAAATAATAAATAGACAACTAAAACGCAATCAACATTGTTTGTGACATACACATACCTGCAGTAAAAAAAAAATAAATTCCTCTGCTTCTTTATCGTTCAGGAGGAAGTAATCCTGGAGCCTTCCTAGCAATCCGGCTATCGTGAAACGGTCCATATAGTTCAACAAGTTCACTGCTAGCAGAATAGCCACGACAAAAATCTTCTTCCAAGTAACACCATCTGTTTAGAAAATCTTGTATAACAAAAAGTTATCGATTGCATATCAAACTGTACTGGATGCACATAGTTATTCTTACCATCTAGAACGGAATAAACGCTGGAACCGTCACAGGACTTATACGTCCCTGTCCCGCTATGCCGCTATTTTCCATTTTGATGTCTGGTGCTTTACTTCTCCATTCAGAACCGTCTCTAAATTGCTGCCAGTATATATGGTAGAACGAAGGTAAGACGATTCGAGACAATTTCGAAGATTCAGAGGTTTGATTGAAAGAATGATTAGTTTTTCCTTTCAGAAGAATATAACAAACCGAAGAGACCACCATAAAAGATAAGCTGTTACGCATCTCGGTGTTTTTCTTTGGTTTTGTGCGTGTGACAAAAATTCGGCAGTTATTCATACTACAGCTGCGTGCTGTGGCGTTGCGTATGAGAGTAATATCACATTCTGTCACAAGTATATGCAACAAATAAACCTTACATTAAAGGCACAACGCAGACAGAGGTTGTGTGAACGCTTCTCTTGTGTCTCTAGTACAGTCCCCTAGAGGATAATCACAAATGTGGTGTTCCCGTA